CGAGGGTTGCGATCCCGTTGCCGGTCCTGGTCCAGTACGGGCACGACACTGAGGGTTGCGATCCGTTGCCGGACACAAAAAAAAGACAAAAAGAAAAAAAAAAAAAAAAAAAAAAAACTTCTGCACAGCCAAGGAATCAATCAACAGAGTGAAATGACAACCTACAGAGTCAGAGAAAATTTTTTCTAACTATACATCTGACACGGAATTAATATCCATATATACAAGGAGCTCAAGTAATTACACAGTAAAAAAAAAACAAATAACCCAATTAAAAAATGGGCAAAGAAGCTGAATAGACATTTTTCTAAGGAAGAAACACAAATGGCCAACAGGTACATGAAAAAATGCTCAACATCACTAGTCATCAGGGAAATGCAAATTAAAACCACATTGAGATGTCATCTCACCCCAGTTAGACTGGCTATAATTAAAAAGATGGAGAATAACAAATGCTGGCAAGGGTGTATAGAGAAGGGAACACTCCTACACTGTTGATGGGACTGTACATTAGTACAATCACTATGTAAAACAGTATGGAGTTTTCTCAAACAACTACAGATAGATCTTCCATATGATTCAACATCCCACTTTTGGGTATATAACCAAAGGAATGGAAATTATCATGTCAAAGGGATACCTGCACTCCCATGTTCATCACAGCTCTGTTTACAATAGCCAAGACATGGAACCAATGTAAATGTCCATAGATGGACTATTGAATAAGAAAAATGTGGTATATTTATGCCATGGACTATTACTCTGCCATAAAAAAGAATGAAATTCCTCCATTTGCAACAACAGGGATGAGCTTGGAGAACGTTACGTTGAGTGAAATAAGCAAAGCACAGAGAGATAAATACCACACGTACTCACTCATAAGTGGGAGCTAAGAGAGAAAGAAGGAAGGAAAGAAAGACCACAGTGGTGTGTTGTACTTGTAGTGGGAGAGATCATACCTAGAGATACAAAATGGAGTGGGGGCAAAGGGAGTGGGGAGAGAGGTCAGGATTAATTGGGTGTGGGACATGGGGTATAATTGCAATTTGTGGTAATGGGTATGCTGCCAGTCGGATCTGGCCATCACATCTTGGGCGTGAGAGGTGACAATCGGCTTTGTATCTCATGAATATTCATGAACAATAAAAATTTTAAAAATAAAATAAAATTGTGATTTCTTTCTGGGCCCATAGGTTAGTGGAAAGGAAACAAATTGGCCTTTTATTGTAATTGTTTGTTAGAGGAAATGTCTTAAATTTAATAATTAAGACTTTTAGAAAAATACTTAATCCATGAGCTCTTCAGTCCAGTCACCTAAAAGAAACATTAGGATAGGTTATTGTTATGCCAAGCACACAAGCTTTCTGAATTTTTTTTCCTTTGATCTGCCCTTCTCAAAGTCTATCTCACTTAGAAGTCTCTAAGATGGAGTTTCTTTGATCTTTTATGACCATGAGAACACAGGTCCTCTTTATCTCTGGAAATCTCTTGCAAAGATGCATTTTATAAGGCTGTGTTTACAGAGCACTCAAGAAAAAAAGAGCTGTTGAGACCAAACCAAGATGCTTTCACATCCATATGTTCAATTATACTTGCTCAAACAAACAAACAAGTTGTACTAAACGAGCAATGCTAACTAGTTTGGCATGAACACCCCCTTCCCCATGAGCACATGCACACACACACACACACACACACACACACACACACACACACACACTCTGCATCTTGAAAATTCTAAGCAGTGATTTGAGAATGAGACACAAGATGATTGATTTCCTTGTGCACACAATAATCAACCCTCAGAAATAATACTTCATCACCACAGTGCATACAGGTGTTACACAGTGAAGGCTTTTCAAAAAATGGAATAAAAAGAGAAAATGCCTATAATGGATCTTTAATAGAGAAACGTGTTTTATGCTTTGGCTTCAGAACATCAGCTCATTTATTTTTATTTTTATTTTTTTATTTTTTTTAAAAGATGACCGGTAAGGGGATCTTAACCCTTGACTTGGTGTTGTCAGCACCATGCTCAGCCAGTGAGCGAACCGGCCATCCCTATATGGGATCTGAACCCGGGGCCTTGGTGTTATCAGCACCGCACTCTCCCGAGTGAGCCACAGGCCGGCCCAGTATCAGCTCATTTAAATTCAAGTCAGTTGACTCCCTTAAATATATTTGTATAATTCCAAAAATTTTTAATGCTTAAGATTGTCCACTGGGAAAAAGCCAACATTGCTCTCTTCAAAATCATAGAGAGAAATCTTACCTCTGTCTTTGAATGTGAAATAGCTTTGAAATTAATGTGTTCACTCATTAAGCTCAAATACTTGACAAAATACTTTGATTTCATAGATTGTAAATCCCTGCAACACTGACAGAAGCCATTTATAAAACTGAGCTATTGATTGTGCTAAACTATACAGTCCTTATAAGAAGCAGCCTAATGAGTAGGTGCTGTCTCTATAGTGTGCTTAAGAGGCACCATACAGGGCTGCAGTCTAAGAGTTGGTTCCTTTGGGTATGCCAAGTTCCCTATTAAAATAGCAATATAGAGCAATATAAAGAAACACCCTAAGATGTTTTTATTAATTAATTCATCCACTCTTTTAACAAATATAGTTTCTAGCATACAGTGTAATTTGAGTGGATTAGAAAAGAATATGATCTGATACATATGTTCAAGAACCTTATCACCTTAAGAGAGGAAATATGATACACACACATATAAATATGAATCAAACACAATGGTGAAACCTTCTCCTAGGGCCCTTGTCACCCAGCCATGTGTAGAATCTGCAAGTCCAGGTTTCTCAAAGTCTGCCTTGGCTCTATGACCAGCATTGGCCCCAGAAGCCATAGGGAGGACACCAGGACACCCAGAATCTGGGAAATATTTTTGGTTTAAAGTCTATTTTATCTGCCTTGGGAAGCCCTCCCACCACTTGAACAGAAGGCAAAGAGAGTGTCCTGTGACTGGGGACAAAGTTGGAAGCCTCATGTACCACTCTCACAGTCCAAGCAAAAGGCAAGAGAGACTTGCATGACTGGGGACCCAGGAGGAAGTCCCAGGCAGATCTTCCACTACATTAGGAGAAGCCGAGAAAGCTTCTTGAGATTGGGGACCCAGACATAAGCCCCCCCACCCCCCGCACTGCCCAAGCAGAAGGCAAGAGTGTACCACAAGCACCGTTTCCATGTAGGTAGTTCACCACCACCACAGCCACAACCACAGCTACTGCCACCACAAAAATAGCTCACCACCACAGTAGCAGCCAGAACCACCCTGCAGGGAGCCCACAACACACTCGACTGAATTAACACAAGGAGAGTCACCAGTGGAGCCTGCAAATAGAGTAGGAAGCCTTTCTCCTTAAAGCCCACTCCAGAGTAGCACAAGAAACAACTGCTGTACCAGATGACCAGAAATCAATATAGAGATACTAGAAATATGAATAAACAAGAACAAATGACATCACCAAAGGAATGCAGTAATTCTCAAGTACCAAACCCCATAGAGTAGGAAACCCTTGAAATAACTGAAAAGGAGTTCCAAGCAATGATCTTAAGAAAACTCAAAGAGATAAGAGAAGACTCAATTAGAGAAAGCAATGAAATGAAAAAAATATATATATCCAGGATATGAGGGAGGAAACTGGCAAAGAGATTAGTACCTTAAAAAAGAATGTTGCTTTTTTGCAACAGGTTTGCTGCGAGAACAAAGGTTTTGTGAAAAACACTACAAATCAAAGTGAAAACGGGAAAGAAAAAGACTCATATTAACATCATCATAATTGGACATGTAGATTCAGGCAAGTCCACCACTACTAGCCATCTGATTTACAAATGTGGTAGGATCGACAAAAGAACCATCAAAAAGTTTGAGAAGGAGGCTGCTGAGATGGGAAAGGGCTCCTTCAAGTATGCCTGGGTCTTGGATAAACTGAAAACTGAGCATGAGTGTGGTATCACCATTGATATCTCTGTGTGGAAATTTGAGAACAGCAAGTTTACATGACTATCATTGATACCCCAGGACACAGAGACTTTATCAAAAACATGAATACAGGCCCATCTCAGGCTGACTGTGCTGTCCTGATTGTTGCTGCTGGTGTTGGTGAGTTTGAAGCTGGTATCTCCAAGAATGGGCAGACCTATGAGCATGCTCTTCTGGCTTACACACTGGGTGTGAAACAACTGATTGTTGGTGTTAACAAAATGGATTCTACTGAGCCACCCTACAGCCAAAAGAGATACAAAGAAATTGTTAAAGAAGTCAGTACACACATTAAGAAAATTGGCTACAACCCTGACACAGTAGCACTTGTGTCAATTTCCAGTTGGAATGGTGACAACATGCTGGAGCTAAGTGCTAATATGCCTTGGTTCAAAGAATGGAAAGTCACCCATAAAGATGGCAATTCCAGTGGAACCACACTGCTTGAAGCTCCAGATTGCATCTTGCCAGCAACTCGTCCAACTGACAAGCCTTCGCATCTGCCCCTCCAGGATGTCTACAAAATTGGTGGTATTGGTATTGTCCTCATGGGCCAAGTACAGACTGGTTTTCTCAAATCTGGCATAGTGGTCACCTTTGCTCCAGCAATGTTGTGACTGAATTAAAGTCTGCTGAAATGCACCATGAAGCTTTGAATGAAGCTCTTCCTGGAGACAATGTGGGCTTCAATGTTAAGAACGTGTCTGTCAAAAATGTTCATTGTGGCAATGTTGCTGGTGACAGCAAAAATGACCCACCAAAGGAAGCAGCTAGCTTCACTGCTCAGGTGATTATCCTGAATCATCCTGGCCAAATCAGTGCTGATTATGCCCATTTCCTGGATTGTCACACAGCTCACATTGCTTGCAAGTTTGCTGAGTTAAAGGAAAAGATCGATTGACATTCTGGTAAGAAGCTGGAAGATGGCCGAAAATTCTTGAAATCGGGTGATGCTCCCATCATTGATATGGTTCCTGGCAAACCCATGTGTGTTGAGAGCTTCTCTGACTATCCTCCTCTGGGTCATTTTGCTGTTCACGATATGAGACAGACAGTTGCTGTTGGTGTCATCAAAGCAGTGGACAAGAAGGCTGCTGGAGCCGGCAAGGTCACCAAGTCTGCCCAGAAAGCTCAGAAGGCTAAATGAATATCATCCCTAATACCTGCCACCCCAGTCTTAATCGGTGGTAAAAGAATGGTCTCAGAACTTTTTATCACAATTAGCCATTTAAGTTTAATAGTAAAAGACTGGTTAATTATAACAAAGCATCATAAAACCTTCAGAAGGAAAGGAGAATGTTTTGTGAACCATTTTGGGTTTTTTCTGTGACAGTTTTAAGTTATTAGTTTTTAAAATCAGTATTTTTAATGGAAACAACTTGACCAAAATTCTGTCACAGAATTTTGAGTCCCATTAAAACAAAGTTTAATAAGAGAGAGAGAGAGAAAGAGAGAGAGAGAGAGAGAGAGAGAGAGAGAGAGAGAGAGAAGAATGTAGCAGAGCTCATAGAACTGAAGGAATAATTCAATGAAATAATAAACACAACCAAGAGCATAAGCAGCAGGTTAGAGCAAGCAAAAGAAAGAATTACAGATCCAGAAGACAGTCTGTTCAAAATAACCCAGGCAGACAAAAAAAGGAAAAAATAATTAGAAAATGAATAAAATCTAAGAGTGCTAGCAGTTTTCTGTTTGCATGTCTTAAGCATGCAAACATCCAAATCATGGGTATTTCAGAAGGGAAAGAGAAAGCAGAAAGCATTCAAAACCTTTTCAATGAACCATAACAGAAAACTTATGAGGTATAGGAAGAGACAGACCTTTGGATCCAGAAAGTCCAAATATCTTCAAATAGATTATATCCAAAAAGATCCTCTTCAAGACACATTATAGTCAAACTTGCAAAGTTCAAACAAAAGCAGCAAGATGAAAGTGTCAAGTCACCTATAAGGGAGTCCCCATTAGACTAACAGCAGTCTTCTCAACAGAAACTCAGAAGTGAATGGGATAATATATTCAAAATACAACAAGAAAAAAACCTGCCAGCCAAGAATATTATAAATAGCAAGGCTATCCTTCAGAAATGAGGGAGAAATGGTGCACTTCCCAGACAAACAAAAACTGCAGGAGTTTGCCATCAAATGACCAGCCCTACAAGAAATCCACAAGGAAGTCCTGCATCTGGGATCCTAAAAATGATAATCCATATCATGAACACACAAGAAATAACAAAATTGACTGGTAAAACAAAAATGCAAACAAGAAAGACAAAGAAAATAATTCTTACCACCTCAAAAAACCCACAAACATTAATGATGAATAATAAAATACGAAGAAAGGAACAAAAGATATTTCAAACATCTAAAAAATAAGCAACAAAATGCCAAGAGTAAAACAATACCTGTCAATAACAACCCTACATATAAATGGATTAAATTCCCCATTCAGTATACACAGACTGATTGGATTAAAAAGCTAGTCCCAACTATATGCTGTCTTCAAGAGACTCTCCTCACCTGTAAAGACACACACGAATAAAAGTGAAAGGATGGAAAAAGATACACCATGCAAATGGAAACCAAAAATAAGAAGGAGTAGCTATTATTAAACTGGATAAAACAGACTTTAAACCAAAAAACCAAAAGGGACAAAGAAGGCCACTATATAATGATAAAGGGATCTATCCAGCAAGAAGACATAACACTCTTAAATATGTATTCACTCAACACAGGATCATCCAGATATACAAAGCAAATGCTATTAGACCTAAAGAAAAAGATAGACCCCCAATACAACAATAGTTGGAACCTGAACACCCTTCTCTCAGCATTGAACAGATCATCTAGGCAACAAACCAACAGAGAAACACAAAATTTAAATTACACCTTGGACCAGTTGGACCTGGTAGATTTCTACAGAACATTTCATCCAACAACTTAAGAATATACATGTATTCTTCTCATCATTACATGGAACATTCTCCAGGATAGACCACACGTTAGGTCACAAAGTTAGTCTTAGCAAATTATAAAAAGTTGAAATCATTTCGAGAATCTTTTCAGACAACAATAGATTAAAACTGGAAATCAATAACAAGCAAAACAGGAAATTACACAAATACAGGGAAATTAAACAACAGATTCCTGAAGGACTTGTGGATCCAAGTAGAAATTAAACAGGAAATCAAAAAATTTCCTGAAACTAATGAAAATGAAGACACACCATACAAAAACTTGTGGGATACTGCAAGAGCAATACTAAGAGGGAAGTTTATTGCAATAAATGCTTACATCAAAGCAATAGAAAGATTTAAAATAAACAATCTTATGCTACACCTCAAAGAATTAGAAAAAACAAAAAATCTAATCCCCAAATTAGTAGACAGAAAGAATAATTAAGATCAGAGCAGAACTAAATGAAGTAGAGACCCCAAAACAATAGTCAATGAAAGAAAGAATTTGTTTTGTGGGAAGATAAACAAAATAGACAAACCATTAGCTAAGATAAGTTAACAAAAGAGAAGACCCAAATAATAAAAATTAGAAATGAAAAAGGAGATAGTAAAACTGATACCACAGAAATACAAATAATCATTAGGGACTATTATAAACAACTATATGACAACAAATTTCTCAACTTGGATGATATGGATATATTTCTGAACATATACAAACTACCAAGACAGAACCAAGAAGAAATAGGAAACCTGAACAGACCAATAACAGGCAATGAGATTGAAGCAGTTATCAGCAGTCTCCCAACAAAGAAAAGCCCAGGAGCAGATGGCTTTATGCTGAATTCTAACAAACCATTTAAGAGGAATTAATACCAATTCTCTTCAATCTATTCCAAAAAACTGAAACAGAGGCCATTCTCCCAAACTCATTCTTTAAGTCCAACATCACCCTGATACCAAAACCAAAGTTACAACAACAGCAACAACAAAGACTATAGGCCAATATCCTTAATGAACACAGATGCAAAAATCCTCAAAAAAAATAGCAAGCAGAATACAGCAACACATCAAAGAAATTATATACCATGAACAAGTGGGATTCATCTCAGAGATGCAAGGATGGTTCAACATATGGAATTCAATAAATATAATATACCATGTCAATAAAACCAAGTAAAAAACCATATGATTATCTTAATAAATGCAGAAAAAGGATTAGCCAAAAATTAAACATTGGTTCATGATAAAGACTCTCAACAAATTAGATATAGAAGGAAATTATCTCAACACAATAAAAGCCATATATGACAAACCAAATGCGAATATCATACTGAATGGGGAAAACCTTAAGAAGAGGAATGAGACAAGGATGCCCACTCTCACCACTCTGTTTAACATAGTATTGGAAATACTAGCCAGAGCAATCAGACAAGAGAAAGAAATAAAGGGTATACAGGTCAGAAAGGATGAAGTCAAACTGTCCCTCTTTGCAGATGACATAATTATATATAGAAAAACCTAAAGACTCTACAAAAAAATCTTAGACCTGATAATCAATTTCAGTACTGTTGCAGGTACAAAATTTATATGGAAAACTCAGCAGTGTTTTAAATACTCCAATAATGAACTAGCAGGAAAATAAATCAAGAAAGCAAGCCCATTTATAACAGTCACCAAAAAAATAAAATATCTAGGAATCAATCTAACCAAATAGGTGAAAGATTTCTAATGAGAACTACAAATCACTACTAAAAGAAATTAAAGAGGAAACAAAAAGGTGAAAAAACATTCTGTGCTCTTGGATTAGAAGAATTAACATTGTGAAAATGTCCATACTATGCAAAGCTACCTACAGATTCAATGTAACCCCCATCAAAATACCATTAACATTCTTTACAGAAATAGAAAAAAACAATCCTGACATTCATGTGGAACTACAAAATCCATGAATAACCAAAGCAATCCTGAGCAAAAACAAATAAATAAATAAAACCAGAGGCATAACACTACCTGACTTCAAATTATACTAAAAATCTACAGTAACCAAAGTAGCACAGTACTGGCATAAAAACAGAGTGGACCAAGGAACACAATAAAAAAACTAGAAATCACTCCACATACTTACAGTCAATTGATCTTTGACAAAGGCAACAAGAATATACATTGGGTAAAGGACTGCCTCTTCAATAAATTGCGCTGGGAAAACCGGACATCCATAAGCAGAAGAATGAAACTAGACCTGTACCTCTGCCATATACGAAAATCAACTCAAAATGGATTAAAGACTTAAGTATAATACCTGAAACCATAAAGTTACTAAAAGAAAACATAGTGAAAATTCTTCAGGAAGTAAGACTGAACAAAGACTTTATGAATAAGATCGTAAAAGCACAAGCAACAAAGCAAAAATATAAACAAATGGGATTATATCAAACTAAAAAGCTTCTGCATATCAAAGACACAATCAACAGAGCAGAAAGACAACCTACAGAATGGGAGAAAATATTTTCAAACTACATGCCCAACAAGGCATTAATATCCAGAATATACAAGGAACTCAAACAACTTAACAGTAAAAAAAAATAAATAAAAAATAAATATCCAATTAAAAAATAGATAAAGGATTTGAATAGACATTTTTCAAAGGAATATATACAAATGGCCAACAAGTAGATGAAAAAATGCTCAACATCACTAATCATCAGGGAAATGTAAATCAAAACCACATCGAGTTATCATCTTATCCCTTTTAGACTGGATGTTAGCAAAATGACTGAGCATAACAAATGCTGGCAAGGAGGTGAGGAAAGAAGAACCCTTGTGCACTGTTGGTGGGATTGTAAATTAGTACAGCCATTATGAAAAGCAGTATGGAGGCTTCTGACAATAACTACAGATAGAAGTACCATATGTTCCAGCAATCCCACTTCTGGGTACATATCCAAAGGAATGGAAATCATAGTGTCAAAGTGATACCTGCACTCCCATGTTCAGTGCAGCTCTATTTACAGTAGCCACAATATGGATCCAACCTCAATGTCTGTCAACAGATGACTGGATAAGGAAAATGTGGTATATATACACGTGGAATACTACTCAGCCATAGAAAAAGAATGAAATTCTGCCATTTGCATCAACATGGATGAGCTTGGAGAAAATTAGGTGAAATAAGCCAGGCACAGAAAGAAAAATAACACGTGTCTTCACTCCTAAGTGGGTTCTAA